AATTGGCTAAAGAAATAAATCGGCTTGTATATGTGACTGTAATCAACTGATTTGTCGTGCTTTTTTGAATTTTATTGGCCAATAACTCAAAATTAACTTAAAATTCGATTTACCACTGCATTTACTGGATCATAATCCTGGACACCCTAATCATACATCACTCTTGAGATATCACCGCACCATCCTCACCAACCTTCATATCATCACCCATAACCCTATAAGAAAACGTATTCCAACTTTCTCTAAATTATTATCCCATTATTGTTTCGGAAAATGCTCATTTTTTGGAACATTTCTACAGAACTTTGGTAATTTTCGAGTAAAAATCAAATTAAGATAATATTCGGCACCTAATCTTTTGTATTTCATTATAATTAGAAGCCGAATCTTATCTGGATTTAATTTTTACAAAAATTATCAGGAATTTATAATGTTTGGTTCTAAAAAATGAGCATTTTCTGAAATGATAATTAAACGATAATCTGGAGAAAGTCGCAATATGTTTTTCGAAAATTTTTTATAGTGTAACGAATAATTGTTATGTGTTACTCCTTTCCATATTTAATCTGTTCATTACGTTATCACTTACCTTCCATAAATGTACTGTCATAGCAATACCTTTATAGTAGTAAGCATTTATATATATTCTTAGTGGCTTAACTCATGTGAATTTCCTCTAGTTGCATATATGCGATATTTTGAGTATATATGCTCTTGCATAAACTTGATAGAATGTGTTGTCTGTGGGAAAGCATATGTGAATTATAATCAGTAATGAAGACATCATAATCTTATCGTAGATGTTATAAGAAATTAATATGTATATAAAGTGTTGCTCTCGACTATAGCTCCCTATCTAATGTATGCTCTTTGAATCGTCCTTAAATAAAGAATACATAAATCCCACTCCTTTATATAATAAATGCTAATAACTATAAAATATGAGTTCCCTCAAGTTCCGTATCCTCTTCTAAGTCAACCATCGGAGTTAAACTCGGCATGATTGATGGAAGCCTTCCCATACAATGGTTACAATAGAGTTAATAACATTATCAATCATTGCATTACATAACTTTACTACATATTGAGGTTAATGCATTTACCATATAGTATCATTTGGCTTAACTAGTTCTTCATAATTATAAGAAATTTATTTTCTTTGTCAGAAGCTTATTATCTCTCTGTATATCAATGGTTATGCTATTTAAAATCATTATTACTTAGAAGAGTTATTTAGCAACTATATCATGAATCTATTTTATTATAAGTTATGTAGGCATTTAATATATTAAAATTTTAATATATCAAAATTTTAACATGTTAAATTTTGTTTATTAGAATTTGTCAGGATTTTGTCTGTCAGGATTTTGTCTGTCAGGATTTTTGTTTGTCAGGATTTTTATTTGTCAGGATTTTGTTTGTCATGATTTTATTTGTCAAAATTTTATTTGTCAGGATTTTGTCTGTCAGGATTTTGTTTGTCAAAATTTTATTTGTCAGAATTTTGTTTGTCAGGATTTTATTTGTCAAGATTTTATTTGTCAGGATTTTGTTTGTCAGAATTTTGACTTGTCAGAATTATATCTGTGTCAGGATTATGATTTCAGGATTATAGGCTATCAGGATTTTGGTTGTCAGGATTTTAGAGTAGAACCGTTTAGTAATACCCATTCGATTAAATTGTTCTTCAGTAAGTTTATATATTTTTTCAACTCGAATAGCCTCTTTTTGGAACTTAGTTAAGCATTCTAAAATTTTACCATTTGCATTTTCAGCTTCATCTATATTCTTTAAAAAGTTTTCAAGAGTTGGAATAGGTTTTAAAAAAGATGAATGTGAGTTTGGTATTATAATTTTTGTAAAAAATGGATGTAAAGAAGATTGCGAATTTGGATAAATAGGAAATGGTACAATTAATGGTTGTGAGAATATATTAGATGTTGGATAAGAAAATAAGTTGGGAGTTGATTGCATGAATGAGTTGGGAGTTGGTTGTACGAATGCATTAGGAGCTGGTTGTACGAATAAATTGGAAGTTGGTTGAGAAGATGAATCGAATGCTGGTTGAGATGATTTAGCATCAGATCCTCCTCGTGGTTTGGGTGGATGTATAAATACTGCATGATTTGGTGGCACATCAATATCAGCTATTCCATTAATCTATTATATTAATAAATTTAAAATTAATTATAATTATAAATTATATAAATAAGTTTATAAATATAAATAAATAGAATTTATAGATTATTTATATTAAAATAAATATATTGTTAATTTAATTCAAAATTTAAAACCAGATCATTAGCCCTAATATTTAATTAATTCTTACAATAGCATGTGCCCAAGTTGTATAGTGAATACCCGTTAACTTAATATGACCAGTATCTGTAGGCCAACAGGGATATCCGCATTTTGAGCAATAACGATCTTCACGAATTAAATTAATAATAGTTGCCATATCATGTTTGTCTTGATCATGATTAAGATCAGATTCTTTAGGTTTTGCTTTAGTAAATAATTTTGTACGTTTATTTTTAGAAGTTTTATTGTCGTTATTGTCATTTTTATCAAGTATCTAAAATAATTATTAATAAATGTCGCAGCTGATGCTGAAAACGGCTGAAGCTGAAATTTGGGATCTTGATTTAAAAATATAAGCCCTGCTAAAATCCACATATACTTGTTAATTATCAATTCTAACCCTAAACACTAACTCAACTATAAAAAAAAAGCGGAGAAAAGACACCCCAAAAAATTTTAAAAAATCATATCAAAATAGATCCGAATTTCAGCATCAGCCGTTTTCAGCATCAGCTGCGACAATAAATTTTAATAAATCTTAAACTATATTAAGATTAGAATATGCAAAGTTAATTTTTCATTTTCCATTACTTGACCGAATTCTCTGATATGAAAAATGAAAACTATCTTTGCATATAAATATGAGACTATTAATTTACAGTATATTAAAAAAAAATCTCCATTAACTAGGATTTTGAAAACCAGCTAATGGGAAATGAAGTATCAACTTCGTATATTATATCATACCGAATGTTTCTTTGTGCCATTTGTTATAGCTAAAGTGGGAATTGGATGCATTTTAATATTTATAAGTATCTCCTTTTCTTTACTAGTAGTACGAATATACTCTTGAATAAAAAAATTAAAATCTGTTTCATTAAGAATTTGAGTTCCAGCTCCAGATTCTTTTGTTGCTTTATATGCTAATGTGTAGTCATCTTGAGTAATTGAAGCATCGTCTAACTGAAACTGAATTTCTGACTGAATATAGTTATAAAATTCAATACAAGATTGTGCATAAATTATTATTCGTCTCGCAGGTAATGCAACACCATGTTGATCTTTAATGCATAGTTTAATCGAAAAGTTGGTATGTTTTATTTTAGGTTGATCTGAAGATTCAATATCATCATTTAAATCTTCGATCATTTCTATGCTATCATTTTCATCCTCTGAACTCTCAATCTTTTCAAATTCTTCATTATATGAACTTTCAATTGTTTCAGCTTCATCATTTGAACTTTCAATTTTTTAAACTTCGTCATTCAGACTTTTAAGCTCTTCAACTTCGTCATTTATACTTTCAATTTTTTCAACTTCGTCATCTATCTTTTCAACTTTGTTATCTGGATTTTGACTCTTTTTAACTTTATTACTTGTATTTTTTTTTTTGATTTAGGTTTCATTCGATACCACTTGCTATTGCAAGATGGACAAAATGAAAACTTAATGTTTTCAGTAAATTTAGTGTTATAATTAAATTTTAATTTTGACTTTTCTAAAAATTCTTTTTGTTTTTTAGTAAAGCTATGATTATAAATTATTGTAAAAGTCCACGGAACTAGTTTTGTTCGATTTTGTGCAGTTGGTAATAATTTTTTATCACATTTGCATGAAATAAGTGAGGTATCTTCTTTACAGTAAAGACACTTAGCACAGCCGAAGCAAGTCCCAACAAGATATCTTTTGCTAGCCATGTAAATTTCATATATATGTAATGAAAAAAGGTGTATTCGATACCAAAGTAAGCTTTAAATATATAATTGTGATTGTAATCATGATTGTGATTGTAATCGCGTAATTGCGATTGTTGATGATCATTACTCTACTGATCAATGGGACAACAATTTTGCAAATCGCGATAAAACACTAAAGAATGTTTTTAAATAAATTTTCAAGTTATAGTATAAATTTTTATTATATAATTGTGATATTTAATTTAAATCATATGAGACTTTTTGTTGATTTTTTCTGCGAGTTTAAAAGATACAGATTTGATATTTTAGGACAATATGTATTTTGATATCTGGAACAATTCGATTAAAAGGTCAGGTGAGATTTGATTGAAATATCATTAATTTTCATTAGACAACTTATAGAAATTAAGAAGAAAATTTGTAACTTTTTGTTGATTTTCTTAGTAAGTTTGAATGGTATAGGTCTAATATTTTAATATTATGTGTGTTTTTGTCTCAGGAACAAATTTCAATTATGGATCTAATGAGGTTTACTTAGTATGATTTTGAGATATAGTTGATTTTTTTAAGTAATATAAAACCAGTAAAATTTCAAATAGCCAATAAGTTTTCCAGAGATGTCCAGTAAGTTTTTTAAATTTATGAACGAAATTTTGAGATTTGTTGGGTTTTTGGAAATTTTAATAGGTGGAAAAAAGTGAATTTTCTGGGACAAGCCAGTAAATTTTCAGAAAAATTGGCAATAAATTTTTAGAACAAAAAATGTTTTTAACAAAAGAGTTTAAAGTCTTTTTTGATATAAAATTGTCAATTTAAATCTATTTGTAGTGAATTATATATCAAAATATTCATCTTGATGAGTAGAACAAATTTGTCTTAAGTAAGAACTAAGGTTTGCTTAATAAAATTTGAGTAAATGATAAAAGTAGAATTAAAGAAGTTTTGATTATAATTGAGTGAATTTTAGTTTATTTGTAGTATATTTTATATCAAAATGTTTGTATGAAGGAGCTGAGTAAGTTTGTATTAAGGAGTATAAATAGTTTTCTTAGTATAATTCAAGAAAGCTTTGAGTTTGTAGATTTTTATTTTTTTAAGTTTTTTGATGAGTTTGTAAAGTAAAGTTATAAAACTTTAATAATATATGTAAAGTGAGTAGCTAGACAAGTTTATTTAGAGCATCAAAGTAAGTTTTCTTAATAATTTAAAAAGTTGTAATCATTTTTGTTTTGTTGTTTTTTAGGTTTGGTTTGGTGTAAGTGATTGACGAAAAGAGTTTTTTTTTTTTATAATAAATTCAAAAATAAACTATTTCAAATATTTTTACTTTTTACTTATACAACTATATTTATATTAAATCTAATATTTAGAACACAGTTTTATTTATGCAATTCATGCTTTTATACATGTTGATAAAAATATACATTACAAAGCTTAATTACAAAAGGAATCATAGTTAAAAGCAAATGTACTCAAAGTAAAAATACGCAAATTAAATATATTAAATCAAATATACTCAAAGCAAATATACTTGAAGCATATAGAAATTAAGCAATTTTAATCAATTAAATATGACAATTCGATTAATAGAGAGCTACTAAAATTAGAAATATTAGGTCTATTGTTATAAACAGCTTTTAATTACAAACTTCAATTTATTTGGTATATAAATCCATTTTTTGATTATTGCTTTATTTGTTTAACAGTGCTTTGGGTGAAGCAAAGTGAGTTAAATAATGATATCTTATGATTTATCAATTATAATCATGTGATTTAGTACTATTTGACTCATCTTACCAAAACAGTTCAAAAGGTTTCAAAATCATTTAATTACTATTGGTGGATTATAAGATATCAGCAGTATATCAAATTAATCACTATGTCAAATTAGGTATATTTACCTTATCTTTTTTTACCTTCGCAATATCATAAATAGGCAAATTTTTATTAGGTATTTTAGTAGCACATTCTTGATTAATGAGAATATATGTAGCTACATATACAACTTTCAGTTTTCTATTTAGTAGTTTGCTTAAAGATTCTATACTATATACTATACCTATAACTTAACTAAAATTACCTATTTAAACTTTCTGATGTTCTTTGTTCTGCATCACTACAACAATTATACCAGCTTATAACTTTGTACTGCTCCAATTGAAGACTACTATTTTATAGATAACTTAATAGGGTTCTTATACTACCAAATTACTCTAAAAAAGGTGTAGTATATACCATCCTAATCTTTTTATATTATATATATTTTTAAATTAGATTTCAAATATCTTTTGTAATAGCAAAACTACTATTAGCAGTCAGGTCTAACTATTAAGCTGCACAATTCTAATATTTGTACCTTTACAAGATTTATTCTAATTTTGCTATCTGTATCAAACCAATTCTTATACTGATTTATTCTAAACTATCAAACCAGACAACTTTCTATAGCAATTATATAAATTAACTTTTTTAGACTACAAGTTGAAGACTCAAAATCAAGAAGCCTAAACTACTTATATTTTTTGGATATAACTGTTATAAATAAAGTTTTTTAATATAATATACTAAGATAAGTAATTTAGATAGTTTGTAAAGAAGTCAAGCCTTCTTGAGTCAACATCTTTTATATTTAATTTTAAACTGAAAGAATCTTTAAGAATAGCAAGTATATAGAAAAACAAGTAAAATATTATAAAAATATACCATAGTTAGTATTTTGCAACAAGTATTTTCTCTTTTTTTGTCTTATATCTTGTTTCAAAATTTTTTTAAAAAGTGAAGATTTTGGTTTCTTCTTGTTAAAGATTATATTGTATAATTATCTTTCCATACAATCACCTCCTATATAATCACAAACTCTATATAATCACATAACTTATTAGGTCATTTTTTAATATTAATATACCTTTATATAATCACAATCATAGTACTATCATTATTACATTTTTTAAAAAGTTTTTTTTACTAATTCATTAATAAAAATACCTTTTAAAATTACAAATTAATAAAAATTTTTTATTTAAATTTTATAGATTTGTAGAAATATCTTTAAAAATTTAACATTTTTAAATAAAATAAAATTTGTTATTTTTACTCAAACTTTGATAATGGATATCTTGATAACTATTAATCCAAATTAGCTCAAATTTTATTATATATAATGTAGATATTATTCTATTAACTATAAAGATTTTAGCTGATTTGGTATAGTAGCTCTTGTGTAATTAATTGTATATGATAGTTAATTTTTTTTAAAAAATTAACTATCATATGCAATCAATTATTCAAGAGCTACCAGACAAATCAGCTAAATTTTTATAGATAATAGAATAAAATCTACAGTATATATAATAAAATTTGAGCTAATTTGGATTAATAGTTATCAAGATCTCCATCATTAAAGTTTGAGTAAAAATAACAAAATTTGATTATTATAAAATTTTTTCTATTTTTACTTAAACTTTGATGATAGATAACTCTATAACTAGTTATTAAAATTAACTCAAATTTTTGTTATAAATTGTGTCAATAGTTTTCTATTATATATAAAAATTTCAGCTGATTTAGTCTGGTATTTCTCAAGTAATTGCTCGTATATAATAGTCATTTTTTTAAAAAAATTAATAATTATATACAAGCAATTACTCAAGAAATACTAGACTAAATTAGCTGAAATTTATATATATAATAGAAATATATTGACTATATCTATTATAAAATTTAGTGCTAATTTTAATAACTAATTATAGAGTTATTAATCGTCAAAGTTTAAGTAAAAATAGAAAAAATTTTATAGTAATCAAAAATTTGTTATTTTTACTCAAACTTTGATGATAGCTATCTCGATAACTATTAATCCAAATCAGCTCAAAGTTTTACCATATATATTGTAGATATAATTATATTATATATAAAAATTTTAATCAATTTGATTAGGTAGCTCTCGAGTTATCAATTATATACAATAGTCAATTTTTTTAAAAAAATTAACTATTACTTGAAAGCTAGCAGACTAAATTGGCTAAAATTTTATATATAATAAAATAATATCTACAGTATATATGGTAAATATTTGAGCTGATTTGAGCTGATTTGAGCTGATTTGGATTAATAGTTATTGAGATATCTATTATCAAAGTTTAAGTTAAAATAACAAATTTTATTCTATTTAATGGACACTTAAAATTTATATTATTTTACCTTTTAAAATCACATTATTTTAATTATTCTATATTATGTAATTATATAGAAGTAATTTTATTAATTCTATTTATCACCCCTCTATATGATCTCCAAAAAGTGCTAGAAAATTGGGTGATTATATGGGAGGACAACTGTATATATTTTTATATTAGAAAGTTCAAATACAACAT